AACCCAAGGACCCCGACACGGGACAGCAGCTGTACAAAACAGAAATCAGCAACATCCAGCGGGACCTCCCCGGGGAGGCACCCGGCGAGGCGATAAGACGACTCCAGGTCACACTGGGGCCACGCGGCAGTCTGTGCCCGGCAGCAAGGGCGCGCTCGACCCGCTTCGGCAGGACCCGCAAACCTGCCACCCCTTCTTGGGATCCTTCCGCAACCACAAGTGCGACGCACGGGTCGTCAGTGACGCGCTGTGCCTCGACGTCGACTGGACTCGGCTGTGGCAGCTGCGCCCGGGTCGAAGCGGCGGAGTGAGCAGTGATCACCGCGCGGCAAAGGGCCACCCGAACAACCAGGCCCCCAAGAAGCGCAAAACAAACAGTGGTGGGCCGTCTCCCCACAGTAGCCTTTGCTGCCCCCATCGTGGCATCGCACATGCGGGGGACAGGTGCGTGGAGGATGGTCACTGGCAGCAGGCCCGTTGCTGCCCTGCAAGGCGGAGCCTGCGAAAGGGATGCACCCCTCGCCCTCCCCCCCCCGGGCGGAGGCGCAGGTGCCCCTCCAGGTGGCGCCTCCGACGCTGGCGCACTCAGCGCGAAAGGAAGTGCATGCTCTGCGGCTGTTGGCTGCACCCCCAGCGCGAATGGAAGTGTGATCTCCGAGGCTGTTGGCTGCGCCCCCATCGCCGCGATAGAGAGAGAGGGGACAAAAAAGAGAGAAAGAGAGAAAGAGAGAAAGAGAGAAAGAGAGAAAGAGAGAGAGAGAGAGAGAGAGAGAGAGAGAGAGAGAGAGAGAGAGAGAGAGAGAGCGCGCGTGTCTCGCGGCGGTCTGCTGCACCACCACCCCCCATGCGCAGATGTTCTCGGCGTGCAGCTGCTGTCAAGATACTTGGATGTCCTCTCATAGATGGGGCCCTCGCAGACGCACTCTGCTGGCTCACGCTTTGCATCGGCATCGCACTCGCGGGGGCCAGGTGCGTGGAGGGGGGTCTCTGGCAGCAGGCCCGTTGCGGCCCTGCTAAACGCGGCCTGCGGGAGGGATGCCTCCGGGCCCACCGGCCCTGGACGCACGCGGGGGCTGCTGCCCCTCTGGCCCGGGGCCCCCCGCGCGGGGTCAAGGCGCCCTTGCATCCCCGTTCTGGCTGCCATGGGCCTTTCATCGCCTCCCACTCGTGGTCGCTGCGTCTTGACAGCCGCCGGGCACTGGTCTGTGGCTGCAGCGTGGGCACCCCCCCTCATCCTATGCTCTGTGCGTGCAGCTACCAAGACATGTGCACAGTGCGGCTGTTGGCTGCACTCCCCTTCCGCCACGCGTGGACAGATTCAGCCCCGGCTACGCCCCGGCGCTCCATGGGCTGGTCGTGGCAGCTGTGGATCTCGGCGACGGCTGTGGCCGTTACCTGCGAGGCTGCAGTGTACCGGCCCTTGGGCCAGAGTGCGTTCCTCTCATCCTTGCAGCCCCTGTTTCGGATACGATGACCGTCGCGCCGGCCCCCCCCAGAGACATGCGCACATTGCGGCTGTTGGCTGCACCCCCCCTCAGACCGCGAGGTTGCAGTGTGATCTCGGCGACCATCGTGACCGTTACCTGCGAGGTTGCAGTGCACCGGCCCTTGGGCCAGCGTGTCCTCTCTCATCGTTGCAGCCCCGGCCAGTCACTGGTTTCGGATACGATGAACGACGCACCGGCCCCCCCCCCAGGCAGCGGCGTGGTCCGTGGAGTGAGTTCTCTGTAGGTACCTGCCGTTCCTCCGTCCACTCTGTGGTCAGATTCAGCCCTGACTGCGCTCCAGCGCTCCATGAGCTGGTCGCGGCTGCAGCGTACTTCGGCGACATTCGCGGCCGATATCCGCAAGGCGGCAGTGCACTGGCTCTTGGGCCTATGCGTGTCCTCTCTCCTCGTTGCTTCCCTGGCCTGTCACTGGTTTCGGAGTCGATGACTGACACGCCGGCCCCCCCCCGGGCAGCGGTGTGGATCGTGGAGTGAGTGCTCTGTAGGTCCCTTCCGTTCCGCTGCCCCTGTCTCCGCCGACCCCGCGTACGGCGGTGGTGCGGACTTCGCGCTGAGTGGTTCAGCCTTCAGCGTTGTATTTTCGGTTCTCCCTGCCCGCTTTCGGCTAGGGGAGCTGCTCGGAGCTTGGCGCCGACAGGGCGACTTCTCCGTTGCACCCGCACTGCTGTCTGCTTCACTTCGGCGTGGCCGGCGCTTATGGGCGTTTGCCTTAATGCGGAGTGTTTTGCTCAGTTCATGTGCACTCCACGCATCGCGTGTAATTTGCCGTGTTCCGTTGCCCCGGGCATCGCTGTTGCCGCCAGACCGTAGTCGAGTGGCCGCCGACCAAAAAAGTATCCCCACCAGCCTCATCCACCAGCTTCCGGCGGGTTGCGTTGCACCACGTTCCGCGACAGTTCAGCCCCCTGGCTTGCAGACGTCGTCCTGGGCGTTTGGAGACTGGCGCCCCGCCGGCGACTCACTCCACCGGCCTCCCACTTGCCCCCACTCAGATTGACGGAGTTGGTCATCCTGGTTCACGTCTCATATTGTGGCAGGCACCGAATTCCATGACATTTTGTCTGTGCACGTGCTCGAGCTCTCAGGGCACCCCTGCCGTCCCCTTCAGCTTCCTGCTGCTTGGTGAGCGGGCTGGCCGGCCTGTGCCTGTTGTAGCTAATTAGCCTCGCTCGTGCCCCGGACTTTGCTTCTCGCCGCCTGACCTTTGTCTCGTGGCCGCGACCCAAAAAAGGATCCCCACCAGCCCGTCCAGAAATGAGCCCCAGTGGAGTGGAGGTGATGAGGGAAACGGGGGAGCATGCAGAAGAACACAGGGCGGGGTAAACCGCCATATGCCCCAAGAGGGGGAGGATGTAGGAGGAGTCGTCGTCGTCGTCGTCGGAGTAGGAAGAGGAAGAGGAGGAACAGGAGGAGGAGCAGGAGGAGGAGGGGGAGGAGGAGGAGGATGAGGAGGAGGAAGATGAGGAGGAGGAGATGGATGAGGGCGAGGACGTGGAGGACGAGAAGGGGGAGAAGGAGGAGGAGGAGGAGGACAATGGCGAGCTTGGGGGCCTCTTGGGCCGTCTTTGGGGCCTCTAGGCGGTCCTGGGGAGCCTCTTGGGGCATCTTGGGGGTCTCTTGGGGCATCTTGGGGGTCTCTTGGGGGCCTCCTGGGGGCCTTTGGGGGCCATCTTGGGGCCATCTTGGGACACCTTGGGGCCTCCTGGGCGTTTCTTGGGGCCATCTTGGAGGAGATCCATCAAAGAAGGGGGGGTGGGAATTAGCGTTGCCCTCCCAGGAGGCCAAAATGGGGCCAAAACCTCAGTACAATCAATGAGTTTGGCTTCCTCGCCGAGGCCATCTTGGACGCCCCAACGACCCGGCGACCCCCCCGTCCAGGTCCAGGGGAGGGGGTAGGGGGAGGGGTAAACCCACCCCCTAGGGGGAAAAAGGAGGGGTTGAAGAGGAAACGCTCTAAGCCACCGACGCCCAGAGGGCTGGTGGGACTACTGTTCCATACGTCTGTGAGGAGCTTGATCTTGACACGCCTCGAACACTAATTGTGTCGGAACGTTTCCGACACGTTCGCGTGACGGCGCGCGTGTGGCCAGCATGGTGTGCTTGGATACGGATCCGCGCGCTGGACGCATGCTGAATCAACGCGGGTGTACCGCGTGGTGATACGTGAATGTGGCGTTTCAGTTTGTATATTGGCTTCTTAATCGCATGATTTTCATGCCATGCCAGTGAATGCGCACGGGCATCAACATTGCGAGTTGTGTGGCAGCACAAACCTACGTGTTGCTTTTGATGATTGTGCGCTGACATGTTTACATGATTGGAAGGCGCGGCATGATTTCGATATTTGCGCGCCCGCGTGTGGGCTTTGTGATTTTTCTCGCAAAGAATTCTTGCAACACGGGTGCGCGCGGATAGTGTCATTTGACAAGGATCGGTGGGGGGTGGGGGGCGATACCCAGTTCGACAAGGATGGTTTGAGTTCGTACAGAATGAGCGACGAGGCAGATTCATATGTGATTCGGAACGTCCCAGGTGGCACTGATCAGTCCAGGGGGGAGAGGATGGTAGAGATCACTGTTGTTTTGAAATGAAAAGTCGTGTGAGCGTGGTGCGGCACAAAGCGGCCACGAGTGGCAACGTGGCGAAACTTCGCCGGACCCACCCACCGCACGAGGCGGCCGCGAGTCCGTTGTGGGCAACGTGGCGAAAAAGCGCCGGACCCACCGAGCGCACGAGGCGGCCATGAGGCGGCCACAGGCGGCAACGTGGCGAAAGTTTTGCGGAGCTACCCAGCGCACGAGGCGGCCACGGACGGCAATGTGGCGAAGCCTCGCTGGACCCATCCAGCGCATGCGGCGGCCACGAGGCGGCCACAGGCGGCAACGTAACGAAGTTGCGGCGGACCCACCCAGCGCACGAGGCGGCCCCGATGCGGCCATCGGGGGCAACGTGGCAAAAAATCGCTGGATCCAACCAGAGCGCCTGGCTGATGCGAGGCGGCCACGGGCAGCAGCGTGGAACAGCTTTACCCAGTACACGTCTTGGTAGTAGCAACTCCGATCCGACGCCAATTTCCAACCAAAAGCTGCACCCACCCCCTGGCAAAACCTCCTTATCACACGTAGTGTGGTCTGATCTGCACAGTCAGAATTTTCTCTGAAGGGGTCCACGCGAGTTCCCTGGGTCGGCGCTGGACGCTCCCTTCTCGCGGCCCGCACCTCTGGTTGGCGCCTGCGGCACCGCTCCCTTCCCCAATGCTCGGAGCGCGCCACGAATGTGCAAGGAGGGGGGTCCACCGCCGACCCAGTAGATCCGCGCGGATACCGTTGAGGACAAATGCAAGCGCCCCGCGCTTTCCGCACGGAGCTGCTTGGTGCTAGGTCGCTGGGATGTCTGCTTCCGTGCGCTCCTCCCTGCGCTCCTCCTGGGGGAAATATATTTGCGCAAACCTCCGAAAGATGCTGCTTGAGACTTTTCATATTATCTGGCGAGGCGACTGTGCAGGGGGCCGAGTGGCTGCAGCGCATCATAGCGGACCAGAAGGGGGCAGATGCCGAGAAGGAATTCAACGAAAAGTTCAGTGCATTCCTTGTTGACGGCGTGCTGCAAGACTTGGGGCCAGTCTTCGACTTGTTCGTGGACCACAGCAAGGACCTATTCGCCTCGATTCCAGACGCGCGGCCAGAGGAGCGGGTAAGGGACATCGAGGGCTTCTTCGCCCTGGTACTCAGCATGCTGCTCCTCCTCGACGAGGAGGAGCATCTGGACAAGGCCACCACGCGCCTGTGCGACCTCTTCAGCAGCTCCGCCGACCAGCAGCCTGAGCTGCGCTTGCGGCTGCTGATGATGCTGTACAATACATTCAACGATCTCCCCTGTGAGGCTCGGTACCGGGTGTTCAAGTGCGTGGTGGATTTCTCTGCCAAGGCCAGACTGTTCGACCAGGTGCTACCGTACATGGAGTACCTGGATACTTGGATGGTAGACTGGAACGCTTACCTCACCATCGATGATAAGCGCACCCTTTTCCGCGATATCGCGCAGTACATGCAGGCGTTTGGCAAACGATTGGAGCACTTCCTCTTTTTGAAGAGATACCACGACAGCTACCAGGGGGAGAAGGCCGACGCGATTGGCGCCAAGGAGACTCAAGACTTGGCCGTGGAGCTCATCAAGGTTGCCGTGGCGCTGCCGTCGGTGATACAGTTTGATGACATCCTGAATTTTGACACCGTCAAGGCGCTCGGGAAGGGCAAGCACAAGGACTTGGTCGAACTTTGTCGCGTCTTCCTGAGTGGCACCGTCTCAGACTTGCGCGATTTTAACAAGAAGAATCCCAAACTGTTCGATGATCACTCCCTGAAGTTCGATGACGCCCTTGCCAAGGTTCGGCTGCTGTCGCTGGCCAGCATCGTGCACGGCAAGTCGGAGATCTCGTTGTCGGAGGTGGCCGAGGCCCTGCAGGAAGACGTGGATTGTGTCGAGAAATGGGTGGTCAGGGCCATCTCGGAGGGGGTGGTCGATGGCCGTATTGACCAGTTCAACTCCAAGGTGCTTGTGAAGACGTCCTTCCAGCGCACGTTTGAGAAGGGGGAGTGGTCTTTCCTGGACTCGAAGCTTACGCAGTGGATCGACAATCTCGAGAACGTCATCAAGTTCATCGGTGAGCAGAAGGTCCTCAGGGAGGGGCTGGCGAAGGAGGCCAGGGGGGACAAGGACCCCGAGGAGAAGTGACCGGGCGCACCGGTGAGAACCCAGTCATCGGCCCCGCCGCGGCCGTTCTGGGCCACAGCGGTTCAGGCCAGAGGAGGCGGAATGGGAGGAGATGAGGAAGAGGACTTCCCCTCGCCGCTGTGTCTGCCTCGACCTGCTGTCCTCCTGGCTCCTGCTCCACCTCCCGTCCCCTCCCCCCCCCTCTCCCCCCTCCCTCGCTCCTCGGCCCTCGTCCCCTTCCTGCCTCCTCCTGCCTCCTGCCTGCTCCATGTCCATGCCTCCCGCCCCCCAGGGTCCATCCTCTCCTCCGGCCCCCTGCGCGCCCCCTGCCGCTCATCCTCCCGCCTCCCATCCTCCCTTCCCTGCCCGTTGCCCCTATCGGGCACGAGGCTCAGGCTGAGCCGTCGCCCTCGAGGCAGGACGTGGGGCTCGGACAAAGCAAGCAGAGCCAGTGGGCTTTCTGGGAAGCTCTCCAGCAATCCCACCGGGTTGCTCCACGGTGGCCCCGTCCTCGAGTGGTGCACCATGGTGGCACGCCGGGCCTCTGGTCCTACCAACGGGGCTACAGTCCACCCACATAGCAAGGATGGGCAGCCTTCCCAAGAGTGCCCTTGCATCCTTGCCGACTCGGTCCATCGTTGGCCACTTTCGTTGGCCAACCTCGTTCGAAGAACGCTAGCATGGCCGTCCAAGGCCCTTTTGCATCCTTACCGCGCGTCCTTATGGTACCAGTCGACTGTGAGGCGCCCCTGAGCCGTACCACATCATATCACTTCAAGCTTCCCCTCTACCTGCCTATCCTCCCTTCGGCGTCACCCCAACATAGTAATACTATGTGTGCGTCGCCCCCCCAGAGACGACGTGCGCACCGAGACATCTTATAGTCTATGCGTCGTGGCGGGCGCTGTCTGGCCACACCGCTCGGGAAACGATATACTACAAGATGGGTATACGATATGTTCGGGTCGGACGCGTATTTCAAGGAGGACATATCGTATTAGTATGTCTCTGTGCGTCCCATCCCTCCCCGCTCCCTCTTGCTTCTCCTGCCGCTCCCGCCGCCTCGGCTCCCTCACTCTCCCCCCCAAGGGGGGGGGAGGGAAACGCCGCCGTGCGCCACCGCCGCACGCGGCGCGCTCGTCGGTCGTCGCCGCCGTCGTCGCCGCCCTCGGCGTCGCCGCTGCCGTCGTCGCTGCGGTCGTCGTTGCCGTCGTCGTCGTCGCCGCCGCCGTCGCAGTCTTTGGACGAGACGACCGAGGAGGAGAAAGGAGTTCGAGCACCAAGAAAAACGAAACTCGAGGGTTTTCACGTGTCGGGTCCTGGGAGACACTCGTTCGACACTGTTCCGACACTTTTTCGATACTTTTCCGGGTGCTCGAAATTATTGCTGGAATGTGGTCCGTAAGTACGATGGGCGCAACATAAGAACAGGGGAGGGGGAGTGTGGAAGCCAGGGGGTTGGGGGAGATGCGCGATAGGAGCAGAAGGAGGAGGGAGGGGAGGCCGATCGGGAGGCGGACGGGAGCGGCTGATAGGGAGGAGAAGGGGGAGGAGGGGAAGGAGGAAGGAGGACATGAGGAAGAGAAGGAGGAAAGCAGATGGAGTGGGATGATGATGCTGATGATGATGAAGATGATGATGAAGATGATGATGCTGATCATGATGAGGATGAGGATGATGATGATGATGAGGATGATGAGGATGATGAGGATGATGAGGATGATGATGATATCATGATGATTGTTAGTATTAATACTATAATGTTGATGCTGGTGGTAATGATGCTGGTGATGATCATGTTGTGATGATGGTATGGCCATGATGGATTTGTCGATGATGAGGATGATATTGTGATATGATGATATGATGATGGTGATGGTTATATAGATGAGGGTGGTGGTGATGATGGTGATGATGATGCTGCTGATGATGATAATGATGATGATGACGATGATGATGGATGAAGAGGAGGAGGAGGAGGAGGAGGAGGAGGAGGAGGAGGAGGAGGAAGCGGAGGAGGAGGAGGAGGAGGAGCAGGAGGAGGAGGAGGAACAGGAGGAGGGGCAGCAGGATAACGGCTGCGTGTGTGCGTGTGTGTGTGGATGGGAGGGTGGGGGAGGAGGAGGGGCCCCTGCATCATTGCGATGTACCCAATACGAACCGGATGGCACCTTTGCCTCAGATCGCGATGCATGGACGTGTGTACGTATCATCCGTCAGATGGTCGAGTCGACCGAGGGCTTGATCCAAAATTAGGTACTTGGGCCGAGGGGAAAGTAGGTGAGGAGGAGAAGGATCAGGTATCCAGAGACCCCAGAGTCCCTGAAAGGGCCGACCACGGCCGAGCCCGTCTGCCCCCGGTCCTCGAGCGATCGATCTTCGAGCGATCCATCCTCCTACGATCGACGACGACGACGACGACGACGAAGATGAAAACGAAGACGGAGACGACCGACGGCGATCACGACAGCGAATACCCTGGCGACGACCACGAGCGACACAGACCAGTGTTCCTTCCGACGCGCCAGTGGGCCATGCAGCCAGGAGTCGAGCCAAGGGCCCCGCCACGACGACCGGCCCACCCCTAGCGGAGAGCACAGCAAACAGGCCAGCGCAGGTCGGGCCAAGCCGACCGCAGAGCTGTGCCGCACGACGACGACCACGACCGGCGCAGTCCGGAGGTCTCCATTGCATGTCTGCAGAGGACCCCCTCGGGCCATGAAAAATCACGACGGGGAGTTTTTCGCTACTCCTGGCCTCCGGGGGCCCTTGCCGGCCCTCGGGGCCGTCAGAAAACGGCTCAGGACGAAGAACCGGTCCCGGGGAAGGGGTTCAGACCTCCATTGGGGCCGACGTCATAAACAAATCCTGACGTCGGCGGTCTGGGGACGACGACCACGACCGACGGAGTCTGGAGGTCTCCGGAGGCCTCGAAAGGTCTCAGGAGTTCCCCGGAGGTCGCCGCCGCGCGCGCTCGCACGCGCTGCGCCCGACGGCCGTTCCGGGCTGGGCGGGGGGGGCGTCCGCCCCAGGCGGCTCTGAGGGCGTCGGTGCTGCAGCTGGAGGACCCTTGGCGCCCAGGCCCACGTCGACGACGTCGACGGGCCCAGACCCGATCGGGTCATGAAAAAAAGCACGACGGGGAGTGTTTCGCTAGACTTTCGGCCTCCTGGGGCCCTTACCGGCCCTCGGGGCCGTCAGAAAACGACTCGGGACGAAGAACTGGTCCCGGGGAATGGGTCCAGACCTCTGGGGGCCGACGTCATGAAAAAATCGGGAAGTCAGGGGTCTGGGGCCCCAGGCACCCAGAGGGCCCATTTGTTGTTGCTCCATCTGGGCGTTTCTCTTCCGCTTCGGCCTCCCGGGGCCGGTTGCGGGCCCATGGACCATGAAGGACGGGTTTGGGGCGAAAAGCTGTTCCAGGGGGGCCAGGGAAGAGGTGGCCGCGGACCCAGACCCCCGACGTCATGTTTTTGTTCATGACGTCGGCCCCAATGGAGGTCTGGACCCAGTTCCCGGGACCGGTTCTTCGTCCTGAGTCTTTTTCTGACGGCCCCGAGGGCCGGCAAGGGCCCCCGGAGGCCAGAAGTAAAGAAAAACTCCCCGTCGTGATTTTTGTGCATGACCAGAGGGGGTCTGGGGATTGAGAAGCAGTCAGACCGTCGGTCTGCTGGGGTCCAGTCGGCGGCCTCGTTGCGGAGGCGTTCTCGGGCGCTCGACGCCCTGGCTGGCCGCGGCCGCAAGAAGTGGGCAGGGTGGGCCCAGGGAGGGTCTGGGGACAGAGTTTGAGGGGGGGCCCAGGGCCTCCAACGCTTTGAAGAATCCTCCTTCCTCCTCCTCCTCCTCCTCCTCCTCCTCCTCCTCCTCTTCTTCTGTTCCGGGTTCCGGGACCGTCAAGACGTGACCCTCGGGACCAAGAGGCAGTCCCCCATTTGTCACGCATCGCCAGCTCCGTGCTGCTTCCCTCCCAAACATCAAGGCGTCGGAAGTCAGGGGGCCTGCTCCACAGGTCAGGACATCGAGGGTCGAGGTTCGAGGATGGAGCGCCTGGACGTCTTCGTGTCTATCTTGGCCTCCATGGGTCCCTCCCTCGTCTTCACGGCTGCAGATCCGCCTCGAAGACATTGGATCTCGGACTATAGCCGACAGGCCCAGGGGGCACGGCCCTTGCCCCCCGTGCCCCCTGGGGGAGGATCAGCCGGGAGGACCCAGACTTGTCCCATGCATCCCAAATGGCATGTTCTCATCCTGAAAATCAACAGTCAGGACGGGTAGCCTTCCCAAGGGCCCCCTTGCGTCCTTAGATTTTGTCGGCAGCGCGCCGCCAGAAGAGCTTTCACTGGGGCGTGCCCCAGGACCGTTCAAGGGTCCTGCGTTCTCACTCCAGATTGTCCAAGGACCGTCCAAGGGTCTTGCGTTCGATTGTAGTCCTCGGGCCCAGAGGTCCCGAGGAGGAGGAGGAGAAGGAGGAGGAGGAGGAGGAGGAGGAGGAGGAGGAGCCCCTCCCCCCCAGACTAGTGCGACTTGCTCCTCGCTGCCCGAGGTCCTGGGCGCCTCCCTTTGGCGCCCGCGAGGCGCCCGCGGGCGGCCGCCCCCCAGGCGCCCACCAGGCGCCCGCCTCTGGCCAGGCCGCCCACCAGGCGCCCGCACAGCGCACGGGGGCCGCCACGAGGCGCGCACGGCCGCCCGCTGGTCGACACGCCGCCGAGCCCTGGCAGCGCAGGGGGCCAAGCGGCCCCCTTGCAGTACGAACTCGGCCCTCGTGTGCTGCCCACGAGAGGTACCCTCCCCCCCCTGATCCGGAGGGGGCGCGCGCCGTCCGCGGACACTGGGTCCGTGCGCATGATCACGGGAGGAGGCCCCGGCGAGCCGGAGACCCCAAGTCCTGTCTGTGCGCTTCCCCCACGTCCTGAGTGGGGCTCTTGTGTTCTCTGGACACCCCGCGCAGGAATCCTTTACCCCCTCTTCCTGCCATCGTCGTCATCATCATCATCATCATCATCATCATCATCATCATCATCATCATCATCATCATCATCATCATCGTCACCATCATCATCGTCATCATCATCAGTTTCAGCATCCTCAACATCATCACCATCATCATCAGCAGCATCAGCATAAGCATCATCACCATCATCATCAGCAGCATCAGCATAAGCATCATCATTATCACCATCACCATCACCATCACCATCATTATCAGCAGCATCACCATCATCGACATCGCCATCGTCATCGTCATCATCATCCTCTCCACCACCATCATCTTCATCATCATCATCATCCTCATCATCATCATCATCAACATCATCCTCATCATCATCGCCAGCATCATTACCATCAACATCATCATCACCACTATTGTCACTGCTGGCCTCTACAAGCTTGATTATGGACGAGGTCTCAGGCGGGAGCCTCGTCTGTGAGTGAATTGTGATGAAGTCTCAGGTGGGAGCCCCCTCTCTATGGGGCCCGCAGCTTGCATGATTAATCCGAGCGTGTCATCGGAATCCCATAACTGTCGCCATTCCTGGCTTCTTTAAGCTTGGGTATGGAGGAAGTCTAAGTTGGGAGCCTCGTTTGTGAATGAATTGGGAGAAAGTCTCAGGCGGGAGCCCCCTCCCTATGGGGCCGCACTTCATTTTGGTAACCCGACGCGGCCATCCAAAACGTTGTACTTGTCGTCAGGTTGGGGCTCCTCAGGCTTGAATATGGAGGAGGTCTCGAGCGGGAGCCTCGCTTGTGATAGAATCCGCGAGGGAGTCTCGAGCGGGAGCCTCTCCCTATGGGTCCCCCTCCATGTTCGAGTCCTGGCGGGTTTCGGTAATTCTGTAGCTGTCGTCACTTCGGACTCCGCAGGTTAGAATCAGAGTGAGGGAGCCGAACGCTCATTCTTTGTTCCCGGGTGCGTGGCTGAAGTGGGGATCCGTGGGAAGGATTCTGCCTGTTGAATGTTAATTACTAAGCAGTTATTATTGTTGGACCCCTTAAAGGCGCCCTGGCGCTCTCGCCGAGGCGACGGCTACATTTTCATTGAAAATGATACTCACGCTCGAGCGGTTTGGGGGACCGCCAAAACCGGCCCCCCAACAACAACAACAACGCTCCCGCTCGAGACTTCCTTCTTTTTTGCTCAGGGCTGGTGTTCTTGCTCGCCGCCGAAAGCCGCCGTCCTAACAAAACCGGCGCTCCCGCTCGAGACTTCCTCGCGTTTTACCTTGGACTGGCGCGCTAGTCTTTCTCTCATCGGCGCTGCCCCGAGCAAAAACAACGCTCCCTCTCGAGGCGTCTCCCCTTTTTTACTCAAGGCGGTGCTCCTCCTCGCCGCCGAAAACCGCCGCCCCGACAAAACCAGCGCTCCCGCCCGAGACTTCCGTTTTACGCTGGACTGGCGCCCAACTCTCTTTTGAATTGGCGCCGATCCGAGCAAGAACAGCGCTCCCGCTCAAGGCTTCCTCCCTTTTTCCTGAAGACGGTGCTGTTCCTCGCCGCCGACAGCCCCTGTCCCGACAAAACCACGGCTCCCGCTCGATGTGTCCTCCCTTCTTACTCAAGGTGGAGTTCCCCCTCGCCGCCGAAGGCCGCCGCCCCGACAACACCAGCGCTCCCGCCCGAGAATTCCTTTTTGTTTTACGCTGGACTGGCGCCCTACTCTCTTTTGGATTGGCGCCGCTCCCAGCAAGAACAACGCGCCCGCTCGAGATTTCCTGTTTTTTTTTCCTCGGGACGGTGCTGTTCCTAGCTGCTGACAGCCCCCGTCCAGAGAAAAACCACGGCTCCCGCTCGATGCTTCCTCCTTTCTTGCTCAAGGCGGTGTTCTTCCTCGCCGCCGAAGGCCGCCGCCCTGACAACACCAGCGCTCCCGCCCGAGAATGCTCTTTGTTTTACGCTAGACTGGCGCCCTACTCTCTTCAGCATTGGCGCCGCTCCCAGCAACAACAGCAGCCCTGCTCGAGACTTTGTCCCTTTCTATTCAGGGCCGGGTCCTTGCCTCACCGCCGACAGCCCCCATCCCCACCAAGGCAATCCTGTCGTTCGGTACTTCCTTGTGCTTTACCCTTCGCTGGGTTTCCACTGGCGGTCTCGCATCGGCGCAGCAAGGCGCGAACATGTGTTTTCGAGGCGGGATGTTGAAATTCCTCAGAGGAGGTGTTTGCAAGACCTCATTGGGCGGGAGATCTGGGAATGGGAATAACTGACCCCGCTATAGAACAAGAGTCCCCCATGATGTGGATGGTTATCATGATGGTCGCATGTTTCGTGTGGAAACATAGCGCATGAGGGTAAATTGTTTGTTGTTGTTGTTGTCGTCGTCCCCCCCCCCGACCCGCCCGCGACCCACCCGCGACCCACCCCGCGACCCACCCTGCGACCCACCCCGCGACCCACCCCGCGACCCACCCCGCGACCCACCCGCGACCCACCCCGCGACCCACCCCGTGACCCGTCCGTGACCCACCCGCGCCCACCCCGCGACCCACCCCGCGACCCACCCGCGACCCACCCCGCGACCCACCCCGCCCCACCCCGCGACCCACCCCGCGACCCACCCCGCGATCCACCCCGCGACCCACCCCGCGACCCACCCGCGATCGACCCCGCGACCCAGCCCGCGACCCACCCGCGACCAATACGCGACCCACCCCCGACCCATCCGCGACCTGGCCCGCGGCCCACCCGCGACCGACCCACCCCGCGATCCACCCACATTGCTTTAACGAAGAAATTGGCGCCTGTGGCGGGCTCACTGCATACTTTGTAAGAGTTCGGCGCCTGCGGCGGGCTTCTTCAGAGTCTCGCAGACTGACGACGTCCTCGCCGCCCCGTCACTCTTATCCGCAACTGCGGAGTGCTACGTATGTAGGAGGTCTCGAGCAAGAGCAAGAGCGTCGCTTGTGAATGAATCGCGAGGAAGTCTCAGGTGGGAACCCCTCCTTCTGGGGTCACCGCCTCCATTTTCGAATCTGCGCAGGTTGCGGAAAACTCGTAACTGTCGTCAGGCTGGGGCTCCTCAGGCTTGAACATGGAGGAGGTCTCGAGCGGGAGCCTCGCCTGTGAGAGA